CCATCCGGGGGTTGGGGGGGGGGGGGGGGGGGGGGGACCTTCTCTTATCGAACCCTCTCTTTAACGTCCGTCCGGTCAGGAACTCGGTTTAACATCACTCTCACCCGAAGGGTGGCACCTCCGACTGTAGCCCCCACCCCACCCCAACCCCACCCCCACCCCGACCCCCACCCCCCAGCTCTGCGGCGGAGCGTCAGCGTAGTCCCGACGCGAGGCTCGGCCCCACCGCCTTCTGACTCGGGCGCGGGTGCTGCCTCCGAGACACGTTTGGTTCACTTTTGCCCCAATTATTATTACCGCAGTTATTCCAGTTAATACCACAGCTGCTGCATCGCAGTTCATATCCGTCGTTCTTGCTGCGTCGCTGTTGTTCTATCGCGTCGCGATTGTGACAGTAATAAGAAATACTCGGTGTACGTACCCCTCGGGGGATTCAGAGGGATTGAGGAAAAATCCACAAACCAATGGTTGGAGAACGGGACTTGTTTTTTTTCGGGGGAAAAAAAAAGGAATCGTTTACAAATTCCCTCCGATTCGCTGAGTTAGATTTGCGTCGCAGAGAGTCGCCGGTCGTCCGAATAATTCGCGCTCGCTGGTTGGGGAGGGAGGCAGTGGGGAATGGAAACCTCGGAAGAATTGCCTCGAAAAGTACTCTTGTTCTTTCTGTTGACAGAGTGATCACCGACTGACCGGTCGGACGGTCGGCTCGGGTCGACCGTAATGTTCCCAACAGCCAGGCCAGGCTGTTCGTCATCAGAACTCCTGCCTCGCTCTTGTCTTGAGCAGCTGCGGAAACCTTTCGACCTGCCTTGACTAGCCCACGTTTTTTTTTCCTAATGCCTTTCTTTGGTGATAATCGCTGTGAAATGCCATTCTGCGTGTCCGGGGAGAGACAACCGCACATTGTGCGCGTGTCAGTGCATCGGGGGTACGCGCGTGTGCATTGTATGTGTCTGTGTCTGTGTGTGTGTCATGCGTGCTCAGTAAATGATGGCACAGTGTACAAGGGGGTGGGGGGGGGGGGTCGGGGGGAGAAGTCTTCAGTTGCTTCCCTGCCTGTCTGCCCGCCTGACTACAACAAATCTGCTGTTACAGAGCAAAAAGACTCGAGTGTTGAGCATCATTCTGCATCGGGATTCGGGTTCGCTTGGATTCAATATTATCGGAGGCAGATCTTGCACGGTATGTTAATTATAAGCTGGTCTGCTGATAGAACGATCCATGCAGCATAATCCGTGTCAATACGGCACGAGCCTGCGTTGAGATCGGGCTTATTTCGCGTCAGCTTAAAGTTCTCCCGAGCGCTGTGCCAAATAAGACCAATTTGAGCAATGCAGCGAATGCTACGGAGGTAAACACCACGGATAACAGTGAGCCTTCACGGCAGTCTCTTGTGTGTGTTTTGCCAATGCAACCTTTATTGTGTCTGCACAGTCATTCAATAATTATGAATTTTGAGGGGAGCAATGATTTTACGATGCGATCTAATCCAGGGCTGCTGCAGCTTTTATGACATACTTTACCGCCAAATGCCCCTTAAGCAAACTAATTGAGGCTGTTAGTCCCTTTTACGGTGTTGTGACAGGATCGTGCTTCCAAAATGACACAAATAATTGGATCACTGAGTGGAAACTTGCCGTTCAGTTGTAAATGGAAGCAAGTCTTTTGACCGGCCGGGTGGAGACCCATCACCGCGCTTCAGAGCATCCAAACCAGACTGACGACTGGTTGTATGTCGACCTCAGGTAGAGATTTCCCTGTGTCTGGAATGGAGTGAGTGCGCACTCTCTCCCTGGAGGGACGTACCCGGTTTACCTAATTTCGGGGAGTACTAGGAGGAGGTTGGCAAGAGCCAAGGCTTTGGGGATCCCGGACTGAGCGTTGGGGGTAACTGGTGGAGTTGAACCAGCCATAACCGCATAGCTTGCGTTGATAGCGCTGTCTGACAACCCTCGTCCACGCCTTCGTCGCATCCCGGCTGGACTATTCCAATGCCCTCCTCGCTGGTCTCCCCATCTCCGCCACACACAAAATCCAATGAATTCAAAAACTCCGCTGCCTGGATACTGTCCTGTACAAACCTCCGTATCCCCATCACACCAGGCCTCGCCCGGGCTCCACCGGCTCCCAATTACTGAACGGATCGATTTCAAGATCCTCTCACTCGTTTTCACGTCCCTTCATGCCCTCGGACCTCCCAACCTCTTCGACCTGCTCACCCCCCCACTCCACCACCAGCTGCCTCCGCTCGGCTGGCTCCGACCACCTGTTTGCCCCTCGTCCCCATCGGTGGCCGTGCCTTCAGTCGCTACTCCCCGAAACTCTGGAACTCTCTCCCTCCGACTTGGCTCCTCGCTCCCCACTTTCAAATCCTGCCTAAAGACCTTCTGTTTCGATCGTGCTTACAGTCACCTCCCCCCTCCCTCTCCCCCTGGCTCGGGGTCAGACTCCGCCACTGTCGAGTGCTCCGGTGCGCTACCCCTCGTGAAGGGCGCTGTATAAACGCAAGTTTTTGTTCTGATGTTGTTTTCACTGGGGCAGGAAGTTGGTCTATACCATCTCTCCCCCCACCCCAACACTTCCCTCCTCCACAAGTGAGCAATTTCCTTCCCGCCTTTAATGCCCCAACTGCCTCACGAACTACCTGCGTCTTTCACTGCGAATAACGTGGTTGTCTTTTCTTTGGACTTTGCCCATTTCAAAGGAAAACCAAGTGGATGCATCGAGCGAAGGAATATTCGTGTCTAAAGTAGTGAAAAATGGGCCGGCAGATAAAGCAGGAGGGTTAGACATCCACGATCAGATTCTAGAGGTATGTGGAACGCCTTTTGTTTCCCTTCTCCCACCTCTCTCTTTCTCTCTCTCTCTCTTTCCTCTTTCAAGCGATGCTCGGAGTTGATTTATTTTATTGGACAAAGTGCCCGAGGGAAGCTTCCAACAAAAATATATTTCTATTATGTAAGATATACAGGGTGATACCATTACAATATCTAATATTTTTGTGGTGTTTTGGATAACAGAGTAGATATCATGACTTTTTGATCACCCTATACACATATATATATCTCTAGTATATAGTAATAACATGACAATGTTTGTGTGTGTGTGTGTATATCAGCCAAGATGTCAATAACCGATTGCCGTAGAGACATGATTTATACCTCATCGCAAGGGTTTTGCATCTAGGAGTGCCATGGGCATATTTCTTTTTCGGGATCTCCTATTGTTGATGAGCTATGACCTAAACAAGTTCATCACACGTGTATGGCAGTTGCGTGTACGCTGCTGTCACACCTGTTGGCCGCGCCGACACCCGGTGGCACTGTGGCACGCGGCACTCAGGTGAAGCCAAGCGGCGGGAACAAGATGGCGCCGGTGAGGTGGCTTTTCCTGCTGCCCCCGCCCGGCCCGGGGTGAGATCAGGGTTTTCATCACCTGAACCGACCTTGTGATGTTGTGGACGGGTCGAGTTGAGTTGCCCTCGGGATACAAAGGTAACCTCAGGTGAACGTCCCTCGTCCCCAATATAATACGGTACAAAATGACATTGGTACAGTGCCTTTCACGTTGGGAGAACGTCCCACAGCACTGGACGGTCAGGGGATTTGGACCCAAGCAGGGGGTGATTGAGACCAAGGAGAGTGGAGGACAGGTGGGGGTAAGAGGGTGGCGGAAGGCGGGGTCGGTAAGGAAGGTCTTGAGACGTGCCTTGAAGGAGGCAAGTGAGGAAGCGAGGCGAAGGGAATGTGTGTTAAGTGTTATCTGCTTGTAGTTATGGAGTATAGCAGGCAGTTCGATGCTCAGGACTTGCGACCAGCGATTGTGTTGAACACGCTCAGATTTCTTTGACGTTTGGAAATCTTGTGGGCCGAGAGATGCAGGGAGGTTGGGGGAGGCGAAGGAAAAAAGGAACAGTATCTGATGAAATCAACTGCTACACCAAGTAAAAAGAAATACTAAATCCATATTGTATATTTTTTTAATATATAAAAATAACAGAACGGTGAGTGCAGTGACTTTAAAGCTGTCATCTCGAGTCAGTGCAGATGACAATAATAATAATAATCCTGGCATTCGATATAGCGCCTTAACACTTCTTCGAGACGTCTCAAAGCACTTCACAAGAATACCGTAAAGGGAATTGACTGTATATTTTGTGAGCAAACGCGGCAGCTAATCGCACACAGCAGTGTCCCACAAACAGTCGTGGATTGAGAGACCCAATTTTTTTTAGAAGAAATTATTACCCCCGTAAAATGATCATTAGAAACCAGTGGAGATTTATCCCTCATTTTGGGTGACGTCAGCTGGACCTCTGGATGAGATAACCGCCTTCCAATTACTCCCAGGTGTTGGCCTGTTCTCTCTCATCGCTTTGAGAATAGCGTGGCAATTAGAGAAATTGTTTGGCAAGGTTTCTTTTCTCTGAAGTACACGGGAGCTAATGGAGCTTTGTGGTCAGCTTCTGGTTTAAAATAGTAATTTGCGAGTGAGGGTGAAGAGGCTTCCTGGACACAATATTGACCAAAGTTCTATTTACGTTGCAATTGGAAGCTGGAATGTCTTGCACGTTTGCAGCTGAGTTGTAAGTGGTGCCAAGTTAATGACTACAATCTCAGTTGATCTTGAAAACTTCCAAGTCTACGTGATGGATAGCCTAAATGGAACAACGCCAACAACAACTTGCATTTATTCAGCACCCTTCGCGCAGGATAGCACCTGAGAGCCCTGGCCGATGGCAGAGTCTCGGAACGAGCAGGTCACCGAACTGGTCCAAGTGTTACAATTTCTAATAATATTATCGACGTCGTGTTTTACAATGTCAAAGTGCATCCTGAAGATCTTCACAGAGTTCACTGCTAACCACAACAGCTTGAATTTATACAGTGCCCTGCGTGCGAGATAGCGTCCCAAAGCTGTTCGGCAGTGGCGGAGGCTGACCACGAGCCAGGGGGAGGGGGAGAGGGAGGGGGGAGGTGACCGTAAGCACGATCAAAAAGGAAGGTCTTTAGGCGTGACTTGAAGGTGGGGACAACACAGAGGGACCGAGGGAGAGAGTTCCAGAGATGTGGTGTTGGTGCGTAGTGGCTGAATGCATGGCCACCGATAGTGGAGCAGAGGGGACCTAGTAGTTAAGTGTAGTGACTGTCTTGTGTTGGCGAATGCTACAGTTAATTTGCAAACAGCAATGTCCCACAAATAGCCATGAGATGAGTGACTCTCTTTTTTTTAAACTAGAGGGGTTTGACAGACACGACTCCGGGAGAAAGTCCCTTCTCCTTTTGAATAGTACCATTCATTTGAATAGTACTTTAACATCTACCTGAATGGGTAGACACAATGGGATTTGAATTTAGTGTCCACCGATTCAGGTAACCTCGGTTTAATGTCTCATCAGGACTGTCTTTCTATTAATTATTTAAATTTCCATTCTGTTCTATTTAACTTTCTCCTGCAAATTGTCCAACAGTCTACTATAGATTGTCAATGTTAAAATAAATGAATTTGGTCCGTACTATAATATACACATGACAATATCTTATATCTTGTCTAAAAGTTTAACAACTACTAAAGCTTTCGAAAAACTTGCTATCAAAGAATTGTCTGTTTTGCTTAAAACTCTGTGAATAATAACAAAGCATTTAGAAAAGTTTGGGCCGTCAAAAAATGCGCGGTTTGATTCAACTGGGAGATAAATTGCAACCTTACCGATTCTAGTTTTTTTTCAAACTGAATTGCCGTGTCACTTTTGTTGTTTACCTGCTTTCTTCTAAAAAAAANTTACATACTGTACGCAAGGAAAACTGCGGACCAGCTTTCATGTGTGACTGCTTAACCAAACAGCAAGGCTTTGGCAATCTCCTATGGAGTTGTACACTCTGCCCAAATAACATGGCAGACTGTCCGAGGTAGTTTAAGCGAATTAAGAAAGGCCAAGTAAGGTGGGTAGAGGCAAAATGTATTGTGGGTTTCAAGAGGGAAGTAGACGGGTATAAGTAGACGAGCCCTCCGGGTGGCCACCCTGTGTGAAGGGTGTATATAAATACAAATTGTATATGAAAGATTAAGGCTTGAATGGGTATGAGGTTAGAGACAGAGCGGTGAGATTGAATGAACAGCTTGATCTGATAGCTGGTACAGATTCAGGTGGATCAAATCACCTCCTCTGCACTGTGAATTTCGATGACTCTTAAGTGACACAGGCTCATTTGCTCCATTCATAATTAATATCAATGTCGTGCCCTTGAATCTGAAGCCAGTTATAACCACACTAGATTTGGCATAAGGTAAAATTTGTGCTGTTCACTGAGAGAAGTGTCTTTGGATGCAATTGTGCTGCAGCAAATGGTCTGTAATGCATTTCTTGTCTGATTAATAAATCAGGTCAATTCATAAAAGCTTCAACTGAGGAACGAGTTGAGAAGCAATTCGGTGCGACAAGGACCGAATCTAAGCTTCTATTTTTAGGGCCTAATGTACATTTGCATTGTGTGTTTGAAGCAGAGGGTTTATTTGAATTGAAAGAGAAGATTTATTTTGTTCAAGTTATTTCCTCCCGTACCACAAATGTTTGCCCGTAGTATGGTTTGGGGTTTGGGTTGGCGCTAACAGAAATGTTGTGGTTAATTACAAGCACACTTTTATTTCGGAGTCTGAACGTGGACGGGTTTAGGGTAAAGTGTAATGACTGTGTGTTTGTGCGCGAATGTAAAATGCAAATGTGTCTGTATGATGAAATAATAATAATAATAACCCTTGCATCTGATACAGCGCCTTATCACGTCTTCGAGGCATCTCAAAGCGTTTCACGGAATACACTGTAAAAGTGAATCGACTGTATATTTTACGATAGGTTTGAAATCAACTGAAGGAATCATGACAAGCTTTTTTGACAGCATTGCCCCCTTTTGAGGGGCTCGATTTTTTTNCTGTGAGACTCACGCAGGGTGTATTTTTGTTTTTAAAGCTGTCTGGTGAGGTTCATGTTGCAACTTGCAAACTGCTTCAGCTGTTCCCAGGCACAAGCGCGGAGATACAGCGACAGATGGATAATGCGCTGGAATGTTTTGTATAATAGAAAATGTTTACTTGCGACCGCACTTTCTCCACGTTAGGATTTTCGCGCAAGAGGTTTCCAAATTCTCAATTTTCAAAACAACTACTTATTTTTCCCCCCAAAATCAGTCGAAACAGACGTAGATACGTGAAAATGGATAAGATAACAACAACAGCAAATTAACAACTTCATATTTAAATAGCGGGTTTCACGTCGTAAGGATAATATTCGAAAATAACGTTCAAAAATACAACTTAATAAAAATAATAAACCTTGCATTTGACGTAGCGCCTTATCACGTCGTTGAGACGTCTCAAAGCGCTTCACAGGATATACTGTAAAGTGAATTGACTGTGTGTTTTGGAGGCAAAACTTGCGAATAAGGACCGAGTGATTTTTCACTTTGTGCTGTGTGTCCAAAAATGTTATTTGTTTTGTGGAAAAAGTCCCTTTTAATGAACGTTTAAAGTGAAATCCCGAGTTTTGATGGTGAAATCTGTCACAGCCTTCCAGAAGGTTGTAGCATCTTTGCAATGCTTTTTGGCTTCAAGGCTACCGCTCTTCCTTACTCCCTAATATCCTTTCCAACAGCTGATAAAGTGCCCATCTTTACAGTATCGCTTCCAAGCTAAAATTACACTCATTTATGTGGTTACAAAATTGGGCTACTGTGTCTGAATCCTTTTAGCTGTATCCATTGCTCTTATCGTCCCCAAGTTGGTTGCCCGGCATTGCGCTTGGTTATAAGTTACGTG